TGATGGCAGAAGCCTTTTCCAGGGCTGGTTGAACGCCATCTTCTTGGCAAATCTAAGGACAGGCCTCAGGCATGGCTGTGGCCCATACACTGATGTTCGAACGCGACTGAGCACTTTATGAGATGGAAATTCTGCAATTTCGCGCTCTTGTAGTAGGGTGGGGTAGCGCAAGCAGAAAAGCAAGGCGTATCTCAAAAAAAAAGTCGGTCAACTAAGTCTCGATTCATCACGCGCCACCCACCCCCTCTTCATGATCGATACGCTGGCGTATTGGCCCGTACTGATACACTCCCACTGGGCTCTGGAAAGTCTTGGAAAAACAGTACATTTACTTTCACGCCACTGTTTCAGTTACCAGCTATCCCGCACTCTCCCATTTGCGGCCCACAAAGATTCCCTTCCAGTAGCCAAGGCAGATACAATCCCACAAAAACTTTCTCTCACTAATCAAGGCAGATACGACCCCTATCATAAATCCTCGACGATGGATATTCAGAGTGGCTGTTGCTTTCAGTTTGTAAAATTGTGGGGAATGACTTTATGCTTCTTCAGCGATTCTACATGACCACCAGCTTCCTGCTCACGCTGTCGTGAAAGTTCGCGTTCGCGCTTGAGGGCGTAGTGTTATCAGTCCCGTGATTGAATGCTGGCAGGTGTGCTGACTCATAAATCTCTCATTGCACGTGTGTCGCCATTTAATTTAGATTTTATCGATAGTTCTCCTATACGAACACTTTTCAACATGAGAACATTTCTATGCATGCCCCTGTCGATGAATAATGTTGCCTTTTTGCCAGAGCTTCTTAAAGGAAGCGATTACGATAGATCTCACAGGGTTTAGAGGGGACGTGAGGGTCTCAATAGTACGCCAATGGCGAAAAAAGCAAAGAAATCCGTCAAAAATAAGCAAAATAGTACCCCTTTGATTGCCCTTTCATTTTCGACCATGGATGAGCGACGGTAAAGAACGACGTTGTTCGGACGTGTTAACCCCGATAGCCGCCATCATGCCAACAAGCATAGTGTTTTGATTGATAAGGCAATACGTGGGCAAGTTGGAAGATACAGCCGCTAGAAGGGAAATGATCATCCAAAATGAAAAGCCAACAGCAAACAGTCCATCCAGATCATCAACAAAACTAGTGGGCGTCACGTCACTGGGGGCGGGGCGTCACGCGGGTCCTGCTCAGCAACCACAGCACCTTTCGCCGTGGGAGGGCCACACATCGCTTCCTTGGCAGCCAAGTAATTGCTCCGTGTGGCGCAGGTTCTCCCCCGATGCGAAAATTCCTTATCGTAATCGCTTCCTTTAAATAAATACATATTGAAATGACATATCAAGTGTACATGAGCATGTTCATCAATAGCCTATTGCTAACCAAACCTCTGGGGTTGGTGTGCAAAACTTAAGGACAAGATAGATGAAGTAGCATAACTTATTGATAGCTCTCCAGGCCGTTTAAGGGTTCTTGTCAATTGCTTTCTGTACTGCACTGTAGCAGCTCTTTCCATGTGTAGTTAGGTTCCGTAGAGTTATGTTACTCGCCAGTGACACGTCTTGGAAAAACTACGTTCGTGTTACTCTTCGCTAACACCTACGAGTATGAGCCAAACACCATTCTAATGCAGCTATGATTGTGAATGAACCTGAAATGTGCGGCGAATTCGTAAGATAGTTGGGGCCGTGCAGTGCTCCATACTTTCTCGTGTTCGGAGGAGTCTATGGAAGTGGTCTGTATTAAAACTCGTTCGTTTGTCATGACGTTCGTTTTCGAAATGGTGAGAAGGCAGGCTTTCATAGGGACTTGTTCCTCTCATTACTTCCCCTCCTCCACCTCCCTCCTTTCCTCCATCCACCGTCCCCCACTCGATAGACTGACGAAGAGAAAGTTGAGAAAGCTCAGAACAGGAGAGGAAGTTGGAAATGATGAGGTGGATGATGAGGAGGGTTGTATTCGAAGTGTTTCACTTAGGCTTGGCCTTTGGCCCTTACCATTAGTAATAGAAGCGAGGGACGCATCGAGGACATTCAGCATCCTCTAGACCCTATCCGGTGGCCTCGCTAGAACCCCCTCTCCTTCCATGGTAACGAATCTTACCTCCACCCTACTAAAAGTACACCATAATTCTTCCTCCAAAATCCGTTGGGCTTGGGGAAAATAGCACACCCTTTGTTATGTATTATATTCTGAAACTATACTAGTAGTCGGGTGAAAGTGGTGTAATAGCAAGTAGCGCCATTTCTCACGCCCCATGTCTGGGGGTCAAATCCGACCGGAATCTCGCCTAGGCCAACAAGAATTCCATCTCTCGGGAGCGGTTGTTGGTAAAAACTTGTCTGAGAGTATAAAACCCTATGCATGTGCACATTAGTAGACCATCCAAGTGACTGTATAGTTCATATCGCATTCGAATGTTACTACAAACCTAAATGGAAGTGGAATGCATGGCACTTCCCAAGAAGGACGGGTCAGTGTCAAAGTTTTATTTGTTATCTCCCTTACTTTTGTGAAGACAAGAAACGTGTTTTCTGAATTTCCTATGAAAATACCATATATTTCGTGACTTTCCGAAAAAAATTGTGACCCTAAGTCTTCTTGAGAACTTCCTTGACTCAATGTACCTCTTCTCATCGATTTTACCAGTCAGAATCACTCTTTTCTGGAAGCAAAATGCCTCTCTCCCTCTTCCCCTTTTCGCTGTGAGTACATAGATTCTCGACCTTGACTTACCTTGGTTGTTACAGCTCATATTTTCGGAACGGCCGAGATATTGGAATATATGTACATCACTGCATTTACGCAAAGCTTCAACTAAGCTGTTACGGCCTCTTCTCATTGCAATAACATACGTGCAAGCGAACATTGATCGGGTTCAGAATCCTGGCTGGCACCCGAGCACTGGTTATGTGTTCCTGCCGTAGCTGCTCATGATTTCCCAAATAAGCCGGTGTCAGACTTTGCGAAATTCGCAAAATCTGACATCGGCCAAAGAGAGATTCGGGAGAGCGGTGTTAAAGGTGCACTGAGAAAGGTAGGTCATTTCAAAATACGCGGCACTTTTGCATACTCGGCCTGCAAAAGAATTTGTGTTGTCAAGAGTAATGGTATCAGTTATGTGAGCCCCAAACAATGGGTGGTTTGATAAACCAGAGAGATAGGGGGAGAGGTACTCAAAACAGCGACCCCAGATGAGGTCGTGTCGAAAAATCTACTGTGGTTGGGATGGTTCAGCCCAGTTGTGCCCTTGTCGCGTCTCGAAATTGCGAGATTATGGCGCTAGGACCTTGCATAAGTGATGTAATGATGACCAATGTCAGCTTATGGACGAGATACCTCGTGCACACCCCATGATACGCAACGTGGATTACGGCGTAGCGGCTAATTCAAATACGCGGGTTAGTGGAGCTGTGGAGCAAACAATTTCAGAAAACTCGTTCGGTCCCGCCCCTTTTTTATTACAAGGAGGAAGAGAAGAGGATATTTGTGAACGGCTTCATCGGCAGGTTCGTTCGATTCTTTGCCAGCCCTTAATTAGTAGCATCCACTATTCCTTTGTTAACTGCGGTTAGCCCAACAATTCGATCTGTAGTTGTTGCTCTAGGTGCGACTCAGGGTCGCTAAAAACTGCATCGAGTCAATAGAAGTGACCTTTGATAATCTCTTTCATCTGCCTTTATAGCATGAAAATGTTCTTCAAAATTAAGAAGTCAAGCTTCTCTCAAATTGTGATCAGAGCGTACTGTGATTTCATCCAGGATCTCAGAACGAAGCCAATTCGCTTTTTTTCAGTTGCGGAGGTGCTCCCACATTTCCATGACAAAAGTGATATTCGAGGATAAATGGAGCAAAATAACGCCAGATCGTTTATCCATCAAGTGCTACTATTTTCCGTTGGGTTCTAACAAAGTCAGTGATTTTTTAAAATTATTGCTTTATTTGTATCAGAGCAGACTGACTACTAAATTGCATGGAAGTCATTACAGGGTGGCCAGAAATTACGGTAACAAGAGCGTACCGTGTACAATTCTAAGATTTACGAAAGGGTTTTGAGTGTATAGCTTTTGCGCATTTGATTCTATTGATACGATGTTCACTCTTTAATTTTACCACTCGGATTCTACCTAGTTTGGATTGTTTAAGCCTTTAGCTCTTCATGAAATAACGACCCGCTTGCTTCTTCAACATGTCTGGTGGTGTTACGTTGCAAAGCGAATCAGGATCTTCAGTAAAGCTGCAACAACCACTATTGCGAAGAACAATTGGCTAGGTGCTAGAAGCGATTGGATTGCACGTGGGAGAGGAGCTTTTGTTGTTACTGAGAACAATGTTGAAAAAGTAGGCGCTGAGCAGCGATGGAATCTAGCACATTCAGCAGGTCATTTTTTCCCGTGTTAGGGACCAGGTGCACTTCTTTGCATGTGATCGTCAGAAGACATCCCATGGGTGAGGCACATTAGCTTGGAACAGCTCAGCTCTCCAATGAGG